CTCAGCACCGGTCTGCGCGCCGGTCTCAGCACCGGTCTGCGCGCCTGTCTGCGCGCCTGTCTCAGCACCGGTCTGCGCGCCTGTCTCAGCACCGGTCTGCGCGCCTGTCTGCGCTCCTGTCTCAGCACCGGTCTGCGCGCCTGTCTCAGCACCGGTCTGCGCGCCTGTCTCAGCACCGGTCTGCGCGCCTGTGTCTATGTCTGCGTGTATATTCAAGTGTCTGTGTTAGAGGTGTGAGAAAGGACAGGCTGCACTGACAGAAGACACTCATACCTGATGAAACAGGCTCAGGTTACCCTCCAAGATGGGACAAAGCAGCTGGTCGCTGAGCAAAGTCTGGTCTTGTGGCATTAAAACAAACCCCACCCCCCCTCTCTACTGTTCAGGCTGCTTTGTGTCTGAATGTCTGCTGTGTTTTTGTGTGGTTTCTGAACCTCCTGGTTACACGGTTGTGGCTCCTTCTGTGGCGGCCGTGTGACGCATGTCAGCCAGGTGATGGCGCTGTGCTTCTCCACCTGCGCTTCAGCACTGCCTGTCCCCCCTCCCCTCAGCTCCTGTGCAGCGTTGGCCACTCTGAGGAGAAATTTGGGTTCACCTATGAGGAAATCATCATCTGGTAAGTGTCGGGGTGCCAGTTTGAGGATCTGGATGATTAAAATCTGTTAAATAAAAATGATCGCGTCCTGAACCCCAAAACATTGTGGTTGTACATGCACTTTGACAAAAGAGGGCAGAATTGCTCCCCCCATCTGAACTTTCACTGGCGGCTAAGGGACTATTAGCCTTTGCTTTTGTTAATGGGGGGAAAAAAAAAAAAAAAAAAAGGGCCATTAACACCCACCATATTTAATGGAAAAAGTACAGTTAGCCCCTAATCATGGCTAATGGACAGTTAGCACCTGCTACCAATAATGGACAGAGCACTGTTAGCTGCCACCATTGCTAATAACAAATATACTGTTAGCACCCAGCATGGCTGGGTAATGGCTAGTGGGCTTTTAGCACCTCCTGCCGTTAATGGCTAATGGACAGTTAGCACCACCTGCCACTAACAGGTAATGGACTGTTAGCACCTACTGTTGCTAATAGCTTTAGTACTGTTGGCACCCACCATGGCTAATGGCTAGTGGACTGTTAGCTCCAGCCGCCGCTGTGAGCACAGGTCATGTCCCACGGTAAAAGGACCGACACTGGGATATATCCCAGATGCTGTAGGCTCCGAATTTTGAGGCGAGTTCATTTTAGAATTTTCAGTGTGCCGTAGTTTATGCTTCTGGTTTATGGTGATATGTATGTGCCCCCCCCCCCCAAAGCCTGCGGTTAGCGCTGCTCAATGAGGCCAAGGAGGTACGGGCGGCCGGTCTGCGGGCGCTACGCTACCTCATCCGAGACAGCGCCATTCTCCAGAAGGTTCTCCGCCTTCAGGTGGACTACCTGATTGCCAGGTGGGATTCGTTTCACGACCCCCGAGAAATAACGTTCTATATTTTAGCAAATGGCTGTGTCAGTTAAGCCTTGTCCTTATATTTAACCCATTTACTGGGACGCACGTTCAGTCTAAATATCCTGGCTTCTTTTGGCCATGCTGCTGTAGTGACTTTTTGGAGCAGATAACCTAGTGGACTGAAGGATCAATTCCTACAATACATGCCACAGTCCTACTGATGAGCAGCATTCAGTGACTCTCCTGTTCCACCTACAGGCAAAACTGCAAATGATAGTTCAGTGAATGCTAATCCTCAAACAGTATTTGTTGTCTGGACTGCTACATCTGTAGCTTTGTTTTGAAGGAGGGTTTTATATAACCAGGCTGTCTGAACCTTCTGTCCCTGTCTTCAGGTGCATTGACATCCAGCAGAGTAATGAGGTGGAGAGGACGCAGGCTCTCAGGCTGGTGCGAAAGGTGAGAACAGCTCTGCTCCCTTTTCGTTGGTGGGAGCGTGTCATGCTCCCTGCTCCCCCTTCAGGCCATATAGGGTGGTGCGGGCTTGTTTGTCCAGCCTATTGGTTTTACTTTTCTCTCCTGCACTCTTTGACATTGAATATTGATGGCACTCTGTCACGTTCGTCCGTGTAGGGATGTGGTGTTTGTAGACGCAGGCAAGCAAAACATGTCGATGTTAGAGTTGTGTTACAAGATCCTAAAGTGACAGGAGTGACAACTGTGGTCTTCTGACCACAGTTGCCCACAGCTGATGAATCCCTTACTTCAGCTTTTTCATTAGTCTCCGGACGTCTGCTTTTGCTGCGGTGTGGTCCTGCCTTTGAGGAGCGTGTTAAGTGTGTTTCCTGTTCTCGTGTTTGCATGTATTAGCTCCTTTTCTGTGTTTGGTGAGATCACGCCACACCAATGGCATCTATGGGCTCTGCTGTGTTTTTGCTTACGATCTTACCTCTAGATTTTCAATCTTTGTTTGAAATTCAGTTGTTTTGAGTTTAGTTTAGTTTTGTTTTATTTGATTGTTTTTTTTTTAATTTAGTTTAAAGATGTACTGCCATGGAAATAATTAAGAGACCACTCTATTTTTAAACAATTCCTGATTTTTATGTCCTGGATTAATTGTGGCTCTGCTAGCAGAAATGATATTCACAGACACACACCCATTAATTGAGAAATGAGAAATTGTGCTATGGTCTCTAAATTTTTTTCCATGGCTGTATTTTAATTTAGTTTTTTGAATATATATATTCTTTAAGTTTTATCTACCTACCTACCTGATCGACCGACCGACCAACAAATCTGAGAATTGACTTATAGTTGTAGAGCCGTTTCATGTGTGTCATCTTCAGCGCCTCCATTATGAACACACAGTGCGCATTATGCACTAATGTCCTCAAAATGGGCAAAACATGTTGCAGTTGTTATCAGTGGTCATTAATGTAAACAAATTATTGTTTAATTTAGTTTCGGAAGCAATATTTATAGCTTTTGTTAGTTGTAGTTTTTAATTATTTTCGTATCTTATTTGAGTTTACGAAAATATTTCCTTGTGGTGATAGTTTTAGTTAACGATAAAAAACCTGCCGATTGTGTCTATAGACCCAACTGTGATCTTGTTTATGGCGTCATCTCCTGTGCAGCTACTGTAGTCCACCTAGCTGCCTCATTACCGTGCCAGTATCTGAGGTTTCTGTATCTTGAAGGCACTGTGCAGGTTGCTTGTTTGACCCCCCCAGGGTTACTGCAAACGTCTGATATCAAAATGCAGAACGTGTTTGTTTTCTGCCTCGCCGGGCGACCAGCACCTTGCGGCTTGTGGCTCGCTCGTACGTGTGCACGCCTGTCGTCCACTGGACTTCCTGTGTCATAAAAAGTTCTGACTGTTTCCATGACCACCCGTGGGCCTAGAAAGTGGAATCGCACCACCCACACATTAGTAAACAAAGCTTATCAAAGAAGAAATCTAGCTGTTAAGAAAGAACCTAAAAAAGACACGTGCTGGTGTTGGATAAAAGGATGTGAAAGGGCATAGTTAATTGCATGACATCTAAGAGCATCTCTGGGTGTTTTTAGGCAATGGTTGTATCTGCGTGAGTGCTCAATGGTGCACCCTACCTTCTGCACGGCATTCTGCACTTTCCTTGCAAAATTCTAGAATGTCGCATTAAAAAAATGGATAAATGGATTTAAGAGTTTCCACCCCTTTCCCTCTTTTCTGCCCCCTACAGATGATCACTGTGAATGCCCTGCTTTTTCCCAGTTCGATCACCAACTCGCTGATCGCTGTAGGCAACGATGGGTTGCAGGAACGCGACCGCATGGTGCGGGCGTGCATCGCCATTGTCTGTGAGCTTGGTGGGTGGCATGCATACGCTCTCTCTGCATGTTGCTGGGGTTTTTTTTTTTATTCTTAAGATGTAAAACTTCCTGTTGAGAGGAGGTCAGGGTGCAAATGGCTGTAAAACCAGCTTTTGAGCCTGCCGGTTAAAGTCTGGTCTATGTCAGTCAGTCTAAATGTAAAATGGCCATCGGGCAGCCTTCTGATCCTGGTCATATGAGCCAGACCTTTACTGCCGTGGCATCCTCTGGTCATCCTACGATAACCACTCTTTTTTAAAAAAAAAAAAAACCTTCCGCCGTAAACAGGTCCCCAAAATACCACCAGCAATCTGCTATAGAACAGAATCAGTCATTAGGCTTTAGTGTCAGAACCCAAGTGTGTCGCCTGTTGGCTGGGCTGCACAACGTGACTGTATGCCGCATGCGCAATAATCACCAGGCTTTGGTACTTTACGGACGTTTGCTAACAATAGTAGTATTATGACACCCAAAAGTTAGTAATCTGCGCAAATTCGGCGTATCCTTATATTTAATAAACGTGTCGGACTTTAAACAGCAAAAAGTACCGCATCACCACCAGCGTCTTTTTACCTTTTTATCCACAATATCTCCTCCTTCAGAAGATGTTGTGGCTGTTGATCTGTCCCTTTCTTCATTGTCACTCCATTCCTTATCGCTTCCATTGTTTACTAGAACAGTAGTATCTGCGTGTAATAAACCTAAGGATATGCTGAACTTTACAGAAAACTAACTTTTGGGCAACACAATACACCTCTCATTGATATTTTCGTTGCACTACTAATCTCCTCCCCAAATTGTGGACATAAGTAAACGGCCATATGGCACCAAAAAGCCAGTGTCTGGATGAATGTTTACACCCATCCGCTAAAGCCCTGGTGATTATTGCACAGGCACCATATAATCACGATTACACTGCAGTGTGTTATCATGCAGTCCTACTTGTTGGTGTAACTTTGACTGTCATGCAGGATCTGGCTCTGCTGAGTACTTATTTTGTGGGTCCTACTGCAATTCCTTTTCTGGGATTTGAACCCTCTATTTAGGGTTCAAACTGCAGGATCTTCTTGGAGGGAGTTGAATGAACAGCCAACTGATTCTCCATCTCCATGTGAGGGAATATGCTTGTCACTGGCAGTGATTGCACCCTCCGCCAAACCCCTCCCTTTCAGCTTTGAAGAACCCGGAGGTGGTGGCTCAGAGGGGCGGCCTCAGCGCCATCCTTAAGAGTGTCATCGACTGTCAGCTGAGTCGCATCAATGAAGCGCTCATCACCACCATCCTGCACCTGCTCAACCACCCCCACACACGGCAGTACATCCGCTGCGACGTGGAGCTGGAGGTACACCCCCCCCATCCGCAGCTCTTCCCTGAAAATACTTTAACTGGGCCACAAGAACTGTAGAAGTTCTTCTTCCCCAGTTAAAACAATCATTGAGGTGAGGTTGGTGTTTCCATAATTAGTTATACGCATTGCTACCCAGAGTCGCCCCCAGGGGATTGTGGGGAAGGTTTATGTTCCTCGAGGACTGAAGACAATCTGAGCATAGCGTGGATGACCTGGAACACAACCCACTTTGGAAGCGGAGGGCTCTCGTGGATTAAATGAAAATCTGAACCTCTGCTCTCTGGTAGAGATTAGGAAACGCGAGCACGGAACTCGAAAGCCGCCATGGGCGCCAGAATCGGGCCAGCGTTCTGTTTATTTATTGGAATGAAGGAATGTGATATTCGTAACTGCTTGTCCCATGGCGATTGGTGTTTTTTTTTTTCTTTCTTTCTAAAAGGTTTTTCATTATGAATAAATGAAATATGTCATTGTGTTTGTGCTCTTGTTTTTCAGCAAATCCTGGCACCTTATACTGACTCTCACTACAGGCACAACCCGGACACCGCCGAGGACCAGCTCAAGTGAGTTCATGTGACCTCAGCCGATTGCACGTTACGTGTGCGGCCCACCGGCTGCTCCGCGTGTGGCATGTGGTCTGCTGGGCGTGTCTGGAGACTGGGTGGGCTCCGTGGGTGGTAGTCGGCTGTACCGAGGCGTGAATCTTGCACAGCTGTTTGAGCCGGTCTTCACGGTCTTCTCCCTGTTCTTCACTTTTTCCCCAGGGAGGACAGAGAGGCACGGTTTTTTGCCAGCAAGATGGCCATTGTGGCAGCCTTTCGCTCCTGGTCAGGTGAGCCGGCCGCCGCGGTAACGGTCACGGCGCCCTCTGGTGAAGTTTTCAGTCACAACACATTTATCTATTACCTTCCAAGCATAAAGGGTCCCACACTGAAGTTACAGTCATGTGGAAGCAAAACAACCTGCAATCTGAAAAAACAAGCCCTTAGTTGCTCTGTGTAACATCTAGTGATTTTGTGATGTTTATTATATGTTTCTCGCCCTTCTTGTCCGTTGGCAGGTTTTCAGCAAAGACCTTTTCTATAATATCTAACCCTTCAAATGGAGTAGCAGTAAAGTGTGTAGGATTTTGCATTACTCAGCTGCCGTTATCAGTGATGATCTCCATCCAGAGGAAAGCTGTCGTAGCGTAACGCAGGAGAAATATTGACTGCGATGGACTGTACTGATTTTCTGTTGCTCTTTGTCTCTCTCTGCCCTCAGGCATCATTAATTTGTGTAAATCGGGAAACTCCGGAATCCAGTCGCTGATCGGTCTGCTCTGTATACCAAATATGGAAGTGAGGGTAGGTACACTAATACTGTGTTTTGGCTGTGTGAGCTCCGCCATACCTGTGCTCCATGCATTTGTGATGCAAATGAATGACACACTAATTTCCTGTCCCCACATAGCGAGGCCTGTTGGAGGTCATGTATGAAATATTCCGACTTCCCGTTCCCGTTGTGACGCAGGATTTTATTGAAGCACTTCTCAGTGTCGGTAAGCTGAGACGCTGGCTTTTCCCATCTGCAATTCCTCTGTGGGGTGGATGGGTGGGTGTGTGTGGGTGGGATGTGAGTTTGTGAACTTGATCATTGTCGTCTATCCTCTGTAGACCCCAGTAGGTTTCAGGACAGTTGGAGACTGTCCGACGGCTTTGTGGCCTCGGAGGCTAAAGTGATCCTCCCGCATCGAGCGAGGTCGAGGTAAGAGCGGCTCCTGGAAATGGCAGCCAAGGGGCTTGAGTCTCCCAGGTCCTCATGAGACACCGATTTCCGATTGGTCCACGCCTAGAATGGCAGGTGCCACTGTTTCCCGTCCAGATAACAAAAACCAGAGAGACTGAAGAGTTACCGTCTGCTCTGGAGCAAGTCAGGAAGTCACAAAACATTTCTCTAACCATAACAGAGCATGCTTCCAGTCGTCCCCCAGCTGAGGCTCTGGTACAGCCATGCCTATTCCTGGTGCTGGGGGTGTTGATTTTTAGTCCATCTGAGCTATTCAGTAATTAGGGTGGAGTGGGATACTAATTATTTCATATCATTCAAGACATATGACAGAAATCAAGTCATTTTAAGACCTGCAGTATATTTGTCACACTAAATGAAGAAACTGTTATAAGCATTTGTCATAGTAACTGCAGTCTGTTTGATTTTAAGCGCATAAAATATTCCCAGTTTTATCTCGCATTAATTTTCTAGAGTACAAAAAACTGTCTTCGATTTAACTAATTATGAATTAATAATAATAATAAGAATTTTAAAGGGTAAACCAAATATATTTAGTAATTTTATATCCGTCTTGTAAATGCGCCTTGACAGCAAATTCATTTAATGGAAGCAGAAAATTATTTTTCAGCTATTGTGTTCAGTTGAACAAGGTTTTGATTAAAATCTAAAGTATTGAACTTGGACATTTTGTTTAATTTAAATAGCCTTGCGCTGCTGTTAGCTGTGGTTAGGAGGCCGGCTGGCCTGAAACGGGACTCGTTACGGGTCTGGTTACCTCATTCCTGCCCTTGTCTCCGCAGACCGGACCTGATGGACAACTACCTAGCCTTGGTTCTGTCTGCCTTCATCAGCAGCGGACTCCTGGAGGTACCGACCATGTCTCTCAGGATGAATAATAGCTGAAAGTAAAATAGTGACCTCTTCTATTTTACCAGTGTGCACAGATGCTTGGTTTTACATGGTTTTGGGGGAAAATCTGGGGATTTAATAATAAAGCGTTCACCCATATATATATATATTTTTTTAATATAATTATTAGTTTTTCAAATTAAAAACTTATTAGCGGCGTTTGCTGCAGCTCAGCCTTGAGATTTATGCTCAAACTGAAATGCCCCTCCCCCACCCAGGGCCTGGTGGAGGTCATCACCAGCAGTGATGATCACATCTCCGTGCGGGCCACCATTCTCCTGGGGCAGCTTCTGCACATGGTACTGCTGTCTGCTCCCCGAGCTCCTATGTGGTTGTGTTTCGTGGTCGCGATTCCTGCTGCTTGTGGTGGGGTTATATCCTGGGGGTGATTATCGTGTGAACTTCCCCCTGACTGCCTCTCTCTCTCTCCCCCCCCCCCCCCCTCTCTCTCAGGCCAACACCATCCTCCCTCACTCACACAGTCACCATCTGCACTGCCTGCCCACCCTCATGAACATGGCAGCCTCGTTCGACATCTCGCAGGAGAAGAGACTGTGAGTGCTCCGTTCCTGTGCGCTTGCCCCGGCCTCGTGCTCCACATACGCCTCTCGGGAAGAGGCCATTTTTAGTGCCTATTCGCATACGTGACAGATACCTTCTACAGGTTCATCACGTTCTGCTCCAATAACACTAACCCTCTTCTAGCACCTCTGTTTGATCTCCAGCTCGCTGCTGGACCCTAGTGGTTAAAAGGCACCTTTAAGGTGGAGAATTCCAATGTGGCCGTTACTAGCTGAACCTTACGATGGCCGCCTTCTGGTCTCCGTGCTTCAGACGGGCAAGCGCTGCAGTCAACTACCTGAAACGCTTCCATGAGAAGAAGAAGCGTGGGCCCAAGCCTCACAGCCTATACCTGGACCACATCATCCGCAAAGCCATGGTGGTCCACAGCCGGCGAGAGCAGCACCACCGCGTCCAGAAGGACGTTTCCATCATCAAGGTGCCTCTAGCCTTGCCATTCACCCATATTATATTAACTTATTTGTCCAGAGTCAGTATCTGTAACTCCAACATGGTTGTGTGTGCAGGACACAGAGGAAGCTCTTCTCATGAACATACGTGACAGTCATATCCTCAACCACAAGCAGAACCTGGAGTGGAACTGGGTACTGATCGCCACCATCCTGAAGGTACAACAGCCTGACCTACTGGCCTGTGGTTTGGGGGTGTCATGTGACGTTCAGATAAAACAGCTGCTGCAGAGATGATCCCCGATCATGTGATCTCTGTTGGGGAGGGGGTTGGGGGGGGAGCAGATTTTAAGCCTTGTGGGATTGGATTTTGTATGTTACAACTGAGTACATTTCTTGGGATAAATGTACACTGTTCTTAATCTGTTCTTCTCCACAGTGGCCAAATGTGAACCTACGGAACAAAGATGAACAGATGCACAAGTAAGAGATGCTCTCATCTGCAGGGGGAGTTCATGCGAGATAGAGCTCTGTGTGTCGCTGCTGAATTATGGTGTAGATGCCAGATAAAGTGTGCTGTTTGTTACATTTCCGGAGAGTTCTATTCAGGCGTTCTTCATAAAATTGAAGTGGTTTGGTGATAAGTGATCTTGTTTGGGAATATAATGTCGCAATAATTACTCAATGGTATTTCTAGGTTTCACTATTAATGTCTTCTAGAGTCCCAACATAAATTTTACAAGCAAAATATTACATTCAAGCTTGGTACATTCAGGGATACCATCTCTTCCAAGTATAAAACCTGTGTTTTTGCTCTCGGGGTGTTGGTCGGGTGATGTTGTCACATGACTGCCCTGTGGGGGTCACATGACTGCCCCCCTGTGGCAGGTTTGTGCGCCGGCTGCTGTACTTCTTCAAGCCCAGTAGTAAGCTGTTTGCCAGCCTGGACCTGGAGCACAACAAGGCGAGGCAGCTGACTGTGGCCGGGTGCCAGTTCATCGAGTTCCTGCTGGAGTCAGATGAGGTGAGGTGGAGTGGGGGGGGTGGGGCTGGGGCTCGTGTTTCACAGACGCATACGGTCCCGTGTGCGCTCACATTCCCTTGCCACGCTGGGCGGCCTTCCCGCTAATTGCAGCGCTGCAGGTCACACTTTGTAAGCGCGATGGCTGCCGGTGTTCGCCATGAGGATGGCTTGGCCCCGTATTTCTCTCTCCAGCTTGGGAATCCTTGCGCTTTCTGGTACGGTTTTACGATGGGTCTGCCAGCCGCTCGGCCTGAGAGCCCCAAAGGAGTCTGTCTCCTCTCCCCTGTTTCCTTTGTTCTTGTTGTTTTTTTTATTTCTGCAGAGATTTATAGCCCCGTATCACATTAAAGGCATTCTTGTTATATCTCTTAGGAACCATGTTAAAAAAAGACTGTTAAAAAACAGGCAAAGAATTAAACTGCATATGTGTTTAAGTTTCCGACTTAACATTCCGACCCCCACGCCCCCAGGATGGGCAGACCTATCTGGAGGAGCTGGTGAGGGACATCGAGCAGTGGCTGTCCTGCTCCTCCGGACTCAAGCCGGACCGCAGTCTCCAGAGCAATGGCCTGCTGACCACACTCAGCCAACATTACTTTCTCTTCCTGGGCACGCTGTCTGCCAACCCCAGCGGTGTCAAGATGCTGGAGAAGTGCAATGTCTTCCAGTGGTGAGTCTCCCCCTGGTGGAAGGGAGGTCTTCCAACAATTGCAGCCATTAACAATATGTACGGTCTTTGTAATCCTGCTCCTTCATGTTTAAGACCGAGCTGGGCCTCCGGGTCGGCACTTTGAAGACTCTGTTCTCTCTCTCCCCCCCCAGCCTCCTTAACCTGTGCTCGCTGAAGAACCAGGACACTCTGTTGAAGTTGACGGTGTCCACGTTGGACTACAGCCGCGACGGCCTGGCTCGAGTCATTCTGTCCAAGATCCTCACGGCGTCCACAGACGTAAGTCTGCGCTGGTTGCCTGGTTACCGTCACGCGGACGATCGGGCAGCTTTTCCTGAGGGACCTGTCAGCCTTTTCCTACCTTTGTCAAACAGGCTGGGATCAACATTCAGCTCTGGCATCCACTTATTTACTTTAATATTAATGTGTGACAGGTGTGGCATTTCTCAGGAAATATCTGCTTCCTTGGAAACAAACTTGTTACTGTGTTACCACAATGCATGCACCATATTAAATATACTCTTACATCTTGTGGTGTCATGTAACCATTTTTGGAGTCTTGCCAGATTCCCTAGAGTTATGAGAAACGTTTCTTCCCCTGTCATTATGACTGTTGTGATCTAAATGTCACAGTATTACAGTAGGTCTGTTTCTTAATGTTGCTTGCATCAAAACATGGCCCAAGTTGTCTACTCATATATAATGATACCCCCTTGCTCCCTCTTGTGGTGTATTTCAGAACTGCAGGTTGTATTCCACCAAGCATCTGCGAGTACTTCTGCGTGCCAATGTGGAATTCTTCAGCAACTGGGGCATCGAGCTGCTGGTCACACAGCTGCATGACCGCAGCAAGGCCGTCTCCATGGAGGCACTGGACATCCTAGATGAGGCCTGTGAGGACAAGGTGAGGTCATATCTTATAATGTGGGGAAAAAGGCATTTTTTTGTTTTTATTAATCTGCATGGAAAGATTCTGACAGGTTATAGAGTCGACTGTTCACCCTTCTTCATTTTTGCTGACTTTGTTCAGCTCATAACTAGCCCAGAAGTTATTTGAGCTGATGTCCCAGGAGTTGCTCATATTATATTGAGTGGTAATACTGAAACTGCTTTTAGTGAAGTCCTTAAAGGTCATTGCCATGATGTGACATCACCCCGTGGTTTGAATGGGGTTACTATCATTAAGGAAAACTAAAAGTATAAGAAAACAACATTTTAATCTTTTTTTTAAGTACAACCAAATAAACTATAAATGTTGCTGAAATGAAGTAAAACCAAACCTCAATATTTTCTGTTACTGTTTTTAATATTTAGCTAAAGTATTGATTTGTTTTTAATGACTGTTATTAATTACTGATACATGTTTTGTCCATTTTAAGGACATTGGTACATAATGGCTATTTAGGTAGGATTCTCTAAAGACCTACAGTTTCAGTTTAAGTTGAAAATAATATAAAAATAAAAACTAAAATAAAAAAAAAATCAAAACCATAATATCACTGGCTCTGACCTGTCCCTCTTGTGGCACCCCCTCCAGGCCAACCTCCATGCCCTCATCCAGATGAAACCTGCCCTCACCCACCTGGGTGACAAGGGAGTCCTGCTGCTCCTACGGTAAAATGCATGCTGGGATACCAGTGCATGCTGATAATATTTCAAGTTTTTTTAAGGGATATCCTGATCTACATTTTTGGTACTCTGATCCATGCAATATTTTTATCTTCTGATTCTGAATACCAATCTGATCATTTAAATAGATATTCAAGTGTACATACAGTAGGCTTTGATGCAGTCTTCATTTGAGGAAGCCTCACAATATTGCAGTTTTCTTCCTTATGATGTTTCTGCAAGTGTCTAATTAGATTTGTTGTATTAAACGACAGTCTTCATCTTCTCAAAGAGATGGCATGGTAACCATTGCAGGTAGCTGTAGGCTGACTGAGTTTCCATCCACTTTCTGAAACCTCTCGATCCCAACTGGGGTCGCGGAGCCTATCCCGGGAACAATGTCCCGATCTCGGGACTTTTAAACCCCCTGCCCAATTCCTACGGTTGATGTTCTCTTGTTGGCCACTGTATCTGTTTGCTTGAATGGGCACAGGCGGGAACCAACCCAGAGCAGTCGGCAACACACCGTAGGGCACACACACCCACACACCAACAGGGCCAATTTAGACTCACCAATCAACCTATCCTGCACACTTTTGGACCGTGGGAGGAAACCGGAGCCCGCAGTGAAAACCCACACGAACACGGGGAGAGCGTGTGAACTCCACACGGAAAGGACCCGGGACCAAACCCAGGACCTTCTTGTTGTCAGGCAGCAGCGCTAACCACTGCACCACCACGCCACCCGACTGAGTTTCCATTTTAAAGAGTTTCCTCGTGGCTGAAATCTCAATAGATCGTAGTTTTTCAGCCATCTGCCTCAGGCTTCCTGTAGCATGTTGATAGAATCTTACAATCTACACAACTGACAAATTGGGAGGACGCGGCCCTTTGGATCTCGCTGTGGCAGCCGATGCCGATCAATTAAAAAAATGCCTGAATCAGCCTCGATTCCACTCTTTGATATGGTCGGCGTCAGAAGAGCATCCGTCATTCCAAGTCACGAACAAGGTCATATTAACTGCACTTAATTCTGCTCTTACTCACAGTATGGATGTCTTTCGCTAAGCATTCTCTAAGATGCAGATTGAGACTGTAGTATAGACTTGTCATCTGAGTGTTTGAGTATCTGTTCATTGGCTGCTGGTGTCCTTAAGACAGCTGACAGCTTGTACATGGCTTGTGTGTATCTGCGTGACCCATCTCTCCTGCTGGCCCACAGGTTCCTGTCCATTCCAAAGGGCTTCTCCTACCTCAGCCAGAGGGGCTACGTCAACCGTCAGCTTGAGAAGTGGCAGAAGGTGAGTCGGCTCATGACTTTTAAACCCTCTGCCCCACTCCCACGGTTGATGGTCTCTTGTTGGCTACTGTATCTGTTTGCTTGAATCGTGGACGATTCCGGCTAGCATGAATGCTGGGAATCCTTTATGGGAATCCGCTGCTATTCAGCCAAAATGTGGGTTTGTGATGAGATTCTGTAGTAGTCGGTGACGTTCGCTGCCAGGAACTGAAATCAAATAGCGCTTTATAGTGTAAAATGAGCTGTTTCCTCTTCCCCATGTTTCCTGGCACATAGAATAAGAAATCTATTTTTATTTTTCACCTTTTGCAGCAGCAGGATTCAGGGGAAATATAGAGTACAAACTGGAAGCGGGAAGGATGGGCTCCGGCCTTTATTGTCAGTGTGGGGATCTGTCAGTGTTCCTGTAAAATATAGATTAGCAATCAGGAATAGCGGAATTGTTTTGGGAAATCGGGCAAAATACAAGCAGTTTTTTTACTCCCTGCAAAGTGACGCATCTTCTGGTGAAAGTGCAGGCTCATCCGCAGTGTTATGTGAATAAATAAAAAATAAACTTTATTTTGTTGCATGTCTAAGAAGGCTTGCTTACCTGCGTCTGACCACAGGAATACAACCTGAAGTATGTGGATCTGGTGGAGGACCAGCTGAACGAAGCTCTCACCACGTACCGCAAACCTGTTGATGGGGACAACTACGTCCGCCGAAGCAACCAAAGGTGAGAGCTGGTCAGCCGGACTGGACGTTCTCACGGGCCACTTAGGGTGCCATCTTAGCAGGCCAATTTCGCTCTGGTATCACATGAGCTTTGACCGATACTGCTGGCCTTAATCCTTTTCCTCTATCTTCTAGGTTACAAAGACCAAACGTTTACCTTCCTGTGCACTTGTATGCTCAGCTGGTCCACGATAAGACGGGGTGCCACTTGCTGGAAGCTCAGGTACCGGGCAGGTGTCTGGCTAATAAATGACGTCAACTAATTTCTAGCTTTGTCCCTTAACTGACCCCTGACCTCCCCCCTACCCCTGTCCAGAACGTGGTTCCAGATCTGAGCTACACAGTTCGCTCCCCGACTCTAGATAACTGGGAAGGCGTTAAGCATCTGAAGGCGGCACTCTGGGCCTTGGTGAGTGCATCAATGTGCACCTGTGCGTGTGTGGTAGTGAGCATGGTCAGACGTGAGTATAAGTGCTCAGGATCTAGTGCTGAGAAAGGACCCCCCCTTTGTTTCCAGGGTAACATCGGCTCCTCCAACTGGGGTTTGAACCTGCTCCAGGAGGAAAATGTGATCCCAGACATTGTGGCTCTGGCCCATCACTGCGAGGTCCTGTCCATCCGCGGGTAACTTCTCTGCTTCCTGCTCTGAATGCTCCTGGGTGTCTGCCTCGCTCCCGTCAGCCATCTTGGATCTTTGCCTGCTGTCGTCCCGTGGTCTTTCATTAGGACTGATCCCTCTTTGTTTCCCGGCAGCACCTGCCTGTACGTCCTGGGCCTCATCTCCAAGACCAAGCAGGGCTGCGAAGTTCTGAAGCAGCAGGGCTGGGATGCGGTGCGGCATAGCCGGCGGCAGCCTTGGCCCGTGGTGCCAGACGAGGTGGAGCGCCAGTCACCCAGCGAGCTGTCCTCGGTGCCCAGCTCACTCAGCCTGAACTCCGAGTCCACCGGCTCGCGGCACAACAGCGAGAGCGAGTCCACGCAGCCCGGTGAGCCAGCGGGTCGACCCAACCGTGCTGCACACCCCGGGACATCCAGTGGGTGATCCAGAAGCGGGGACTGGCACCAGCAGGAGGTGGAAGCCGAGAGAATCCTGCAGAACAAAGAGTGCCCGTCCGCCCATGTAAAACCAGATCTGGTGGTAGTTGGTCGTTATATCTGTACTGGGACCAGCATGATGGAAGGAATGGGCCTAATTTACTGGTGATGGTCACTCTGGTTTGGGAACTAATCTGTGACTCTTGGTTTCAGGCTTCTACATCCTTGATGATGAAAAGTGTGACTTGCTGGGCCTGCCGGAGGAGCTCCCGCTGTACATGCGCTCCAAGCCCCAGAAGGACCGCGGCCCTTTCACTCTGTTGCCGTCAGGCAGCTCGGTGCGGCGGCGCCTGCTTAGCACTCTCACCCTGCCCAGTAAGAAGCTCCGAGGTACTGGCGATCCCAAGGCTGGCAAGCAGGGGGCTCCACGGCGCAGCCGCACCATCACGGAGCCCTCCGACATCTCTCCTGTCTACAATGGCGGCCGCCTGGCCACTAGCCCGTCCGTCAGCGTGGAGACGTCCTTTCTGGGCTGCCGGGACGATCGGGTGGGCGGGACTGCCATCCTAGAGGTGGAGTCTAAGCTGGGTAGGGGTGGGGCCGAGAGTCACCGGGAACCCGGTAGCCGCGAGCGATTGGCTGGAGATGGCTCCTCCTCCTCGTCCTCAGGAGGGGGCGGGGCCCAGTTCAAGAGCCGCAGCCAGAGTTTCAACACGGACACGACGACCAGCGGCATCAGCTCCATGAGCTCGAGCCCGTCCCGTGAGACAGTGGCCGGCGTGGATTCGTCGGCGGGTGACACAGACTGCGTCAGCCTGGACACGGTGATCAGCGCGCGCACAGTGCGGACGTTGTGCTCGCTTACGCCACAGTCCAACCACCTGCCACTGTCCAAGTCTAGTTCGGCATCGCTGGTGCCGCCTGGCTCCGCCCACACGCTGCCACGCCGAGCCCAGTCACTCAAGTCACCCTCGGTGTCGGCCATCCGCAGCCTGGCGGACTGCAGCTTTGCATACACCAGCCCGCGGGACGCACTAGGCTATGCCACGCTCAAGCGGCTGCAGCAGCAGCGCATCCACCCGTCGCTGTCGCACAGCGAAGCACTGGCCTCCCCCGCCAAGGACGTGCTCTTCACCGACACCATCACCATGAAGGCCGGCAGCCTGGACTCCAGGCTCACACCCCGCAGGTGAGCATCACTCCTCTTGGCTCCACCTTCCAAGGAGCCTTGTAGTCGTAGGTAGCGATGGCCAAACTGGAGCTCAGAGACCCAGAGTGGGCGGGATTACAATGTGCTGTCAATCACTGCCGACAGACCAATCTCGTCTTGTGATAATCGCACTGCCTTGTGGGACAGTCTCCTATTCTCTGTTGCTCTAATTAAATAATAGGTTATTAAGAACTGACAGATATAATGGTTCAGTTAAGCTCTGAGAAGGTCTAACAGCACAGAAGCAGTGTAGCTTGAAATCCAAATGCACAGAGACGAACCCACAAGCCTTTTAGCAGTGATACCCAGTCCAGTCCTCAGGGTCCCACGGACAGTCTGTATGTATGTATGTATGTATGTATGTATGTATGTATGTATGTATGTATGTGGCATGTCTTACAGGAAGAAGGGAGGGAGCAAAAATCAGTGCATTTCCACTGGCATACAGGAACCGACCTGTACCCCATCTGTCCCGTGAAGAAAGTCTAGTTACAGCGCGGTTCCAGGTCACTTCGGTTTTCCATTGCAGAAGGGTCGGCTCGGTTGAGGCGTTGCTTGGTAAAAGAGACATTCATGTGAAACCGAAAAGGTCCTTATTTACTGCTTACATGGTGTGCATCATGATTTACTATGTGCAATTGTTATTATCTTACTGTGTGCTAATTTTCACTAGCACGTCTGTGAGAATTGCCATGTTATGCGAGTGTCAAACGCTAATGGAATTAACATTTGCTTGCGTAAGTTTACATTATGAATCCATTCTGTTCAGTTGTTCAGTACTTTTCAAGTAGGAGGTTGGACATTTTCAAGTTCCAACTTTTCGGGAATGGATCGCGTTGTGCGATCCTACTAATAATGAACATCTATCCATTTTCTGTAACAACTTATCCTAGTCAGGGTCAAAGGGGGTCCAGAGCCTGTCCCGATGCTTATGGGCTCAAGGCAGGGAACAACTCAGGATGGGGTACCAACTCATCGCAGGGCACACTGACACACCATTCACTCACACACCATTCACTCACAGAGGCACCTACGGGCAATTTGGTAACTCAAGTTAACCTGAGCATGTTTTTGGACTGTTGGAAACTGGAGTAGCTGGAGGAAACCCCACAATGATACTGGGAGAACTCCACACACATGGAGCCATAGCGAAGACTTGAACGTTGGTCTCAGATGTGTTAGGCAACAGTGCTCGGTTCTTGATGGCAGTGAAAAAGCGCCAAATGTGGAACATCTGCGGGTCCCCGTGGACTGGATTGGGAAACACTGCATTTAGGTATCAACCTTCAGACATCAGAGAGCCGATCGTCTCTGTAAAGTCGGGTTGCGGATGTTGCTCCCCTTGTCTTTGTCCTTTGGGTTCCCCCTAAAGCTCCTTCTCATCCTCACAGTTGTGGTGGATGTGGTGTAAACGGGCAGGTTTGAGGTTTCAGACTTGGTCGAACCTGAGGATGAGGTGGGCGTTACCCAATCTGCCGCCTCAGTGTGGTACCCCTGCCTATAAAAACCCTGGCAGGATGTAAACCGAAAGTCTCACCCGAAAGCCGAGCTTGCCAGTGTCGCAATGCACTTTTTTTGTTTGTTTTTATTTTTTTTGTATTTCCTATGCCTTTCTTGCAAACAGCGTGCTCTTCACTTCAGAGGAAGCTGGGGTTGAAAGATCTTCGACATTGCGGTCAGGCAGCTGTGATGACTGCTGGTATCAATGGCAATAACTGTCAGTCATGATCTTCCTCAGGATTGTTCGGGAGGCTTTCGTTTGTGGATGCTCCCCCTAAATCGGCACGTGTGTGTGGGGTCTCCTCAAGGGAAGGGGGAGCGTCCCCTACACATTTTCCAGGGGGGGCTAGTCTAAATCCCATGTTCTTCTCTCTACCAAAGGTCACCCTATTGCCTCCAGCAATGATCTGGAAGTAATCTACTGTTTTTGGTGCCCCTCCCCCCCACCTTCCCCCAGGTTTTTGCTAAAGAGATTCAGCTGTTCTGGCCCAATGAGGTCTCGTTGCAAGACCAGGTCCCTCCTTCCACGGTGCGTGTTCATCTCCAGGGACCGTCCCATCCCCTCCTTTGCCATTTTCCTCAACCCCCCCCCCAATATCTGAGCTGAGGGAAAATATCTGTCCTGCCTCTAGACCCTGCCTACCCCGTGCCTCTTCCCATCCCACCCCAACAGACAGAGCGTAGTCTAGCACCCAAACACTATTTGCATAGGGCGGGGGGTTGCATTTCCTAGATCAACTTGTTTTTACTTTGGCATCTGAATGGATGCCAGTTCAGTCCAAAATTGATCCCTCTCACCTAGTCACTAGTAGGTTGAGGTGAAGTTATCAGCCAAAAACTGCAGATGACCCAAACTGCGTTGAACCATGTCCACCCACATGAACGTGGTGTAAGATAGACCCCCATTCTGGGTGCCACAGAGGATGAAACTTCCCAGACGTGCCTATTGGCCCATAAGCTGGGCGTGCTGTTCCTTTGCCCTATCGCTAGCGGCGTTGGAGCAGGAACAGCACTGTGCTGGTAGAAGGGGCTCTGGAGTCATGAAGGTCCCCCATCGAATCCTGGTTTAAGGAATCCCTCACTCCCCATCCCCCTCCTCCTGCATAAGCTGCCTGGCTTCCCATCTGCCCCCCCCCCCGTCTGCCTGGCTGTCCGTTTTGCCGTTGTGTTACTCTACCAGGCGTCCCGGCTGTAGCCCTTCCCTGTCTCTGGTGAATACTGGAGATGTATGCTCCTCTGGACCCCGTCAGGCCGTAGGTCCTGGATGTGGTTGGACAGTAGTAATTCTGGATCCTGGAGTTGACTTCTGCTGTACCCTGTTGGAGCCTTTGGCCTAGTTCGTCTCTCTTGACCTCATCTCCCGCCTTTCCTCCCTCTTCACTCAACCCCCAGGTTCCTTAAGGCTCTGAGCTTCGCCTCTCTGGACAAAGAGGAGCTCCTAAGCCCCATCAGCCAGACCACCCTGCACCGGTCCTGTTCTGTACGCTCTATGGTCTCCAATGCCACCTTTGGGTGCAACGATGACTACATCGGCCTGGCTCTGCCCATGGACGTCAACGACATGTTTCAGGTGTGGCCCTGGGCCCCTGATAATCTTGCATGTTGCTTGAAAGTAGCAGAACAACAAGGGGGGGGGGGTGTTAGCCACCAATCAGTATTGAGGCCCTGCCATGTCTTCCAGGTGAAGGAGACCCCGTACTTTAAGCAGAGCACAAGCCCACCGTCTGAGGACAAGAGTCCCAAATTCTTCTTTGGAGATGCGGACGGTAAAGACCCCAGCTGTGTGTTTTGTGCTCCTGGTGCAGCCAGGTCTGCTGGCCCGCTTGGGGACATTCCAGATCAGTATCCGAACCCCAATAGCTTGTGAAATAAAATGAGAAGATTTATTGAGGAATACCAAGTTATGAGCACATATATGATGAATGATTATGTAAATGATCAGTCAGTCAGTCAGTTTTATTTACCACGTATACCGTTATAGCCAATACAGTGTCTTGAAGGGCTTGGTTACCCAACTCCAAGACTGAAACAAAGAGCATTAATGTAAATAAACAATCCTAAATCACCATGAATAGTGTGCAATCAGCAGTAACGTAGATGTTATTTTAGGAAGACTTACGATGTGTTTGCTACATCCTATATCTTATGTCTGTGTCAGAAATTGCGTGCGTGTGTGTATGTGTATATGTTAATCCTGAGGCCCCTCCCCCTCAGGTCCCCGGTCAGGCGCCCCCCCTCCACTGCGCCCCCAGATCAGCATCACGGAGCTGGTGAGTGGCAGCCGTGCCGGGCTGGATGAGGAGACGGGCCTGCAGGATCATCGCGACGACAACTGTCTGTACTGCGTGGCCATCCAGGTGCTGGGAGGCTACGCCCACAGCCAGGCCGACACCCCCCACAACCGCACGGGTGAGAGCCATGGGCAAGTCAGGGCCTGACGAATGAATACAGTCAGAGTGAATGTGCAGTCTACATTACAGTCTTACTGTTATTCGGATTGTCATTTGCTTCAATTGACTTATTTAGGTTGAAGATTAACACAAGCATACATATGAGGGTGACATGGTGGTGCAGTGGTTAGCACTGTTTCCTCATACCTCTTGGACCAAGGTTCGAGTCTCCGCCATGGCTCCATGTGTGTGGAGTTTGCATGTTCTCCCCATGTCGTTGTGGGGTTTCCTCTGGGTACTCCAGTTTCCACCTACAGTCCAAAAACATGCTGAGGTGTGAATGGAGTGTGAGTGAATGGAGTGTGAGTGTGCCCTGCAATGGGTTTGCGTGCTGCCCTGGGTTATTTCCTGGCTTGCGCCCATAACTTCAAAGACAGACTTCGGGCTCCCGCGACTCTGCTTAGGAAAAACAGGTATAGACGATGGACACTTTATGGACAGAAGTATTGAGACACCCAGCCATTACACCTACAGGAACTTTTATGACATCCCATTCCATAGACATCCATCCAAATCCATAAGCATCAATATGGAGTTGGTTCCCCCTTTGCAGCTATAACAGCTGCCACTCTTCTGGGGAGGCTTTCCACAAGATTTTGGAGTGTGTCTGTGGGAATTTCTGCCCATTCATCCAGAAGAGCATTTGTGAGGTCAGGCACTGATGTTGGACGTGAAAGCCTGGCTCGTGATCTCCATTCTAGTTCATCCCAAAGGTGTTCCATGGGGTTGAGGTCAGAGCTCTGTGCGGGCCAGTCAAGTTCTTCCACATCAAACACCCAACCATGTCTTTGGTCACCTAACTTTGAGCACTGGGCACATTTGTGCTGGAACAGAAAAGGGCCTTTCTCTAAACTGTTCCCACAAAGTTGGAAGCATAGAATTGTCCGAAATGTAAGCTGAAGCATTAAGAGTTCCCTTCACTGGAATTAAGGGGCCTAGTCCAACCCCTGAAAAACAACCCCATACCATTATCCCTTCTTCACAAAACTTTATGTTTGGCACAATGCAGTCAGGTAGGTACTCCTGGCATCCTCCAAACCCAGAGTCCTTCACACTGCCAGACAGAGAAGCGTGATTCGTCACTCCACGGAACACATTTTCACTGCTCCAGAGTCAAGTGGCAGTGTGCTTTACACCACGCCATCCGACGCTTGGTATTGCACTTGGAGATGTGAGGCTCGCATGCAGCAGCTCGACCACGGAAGTCCGATCCATGAATCTCCCGGTGCAGAGTTTTGTGCTGAAGTTAATGCCAGAGGAAGTTTGGAACTCTGCAGTTATAGAGTCAGGAGCACGTTGATGACTTGTGCATTACGCAGCTCCGCGCTTAGTTACTTTACTCCCACTTCATGGCTGAGTTTCTGTTGTTCCTAAATGCTTCTACTTTGCGATAATTCCACATACAGTTGAACGTGGAACATACAGCATGGAAGAAATTTCACAAACTGACTTATTGCGAAGTTTGTATCCTATGACAGCACCACACTTGAATTCACTGAGCTCTTTAGAACGACCCATTCTTTCACAACTGTTTGTAAACCTGACTGTATGTCTAGGTGCTTGATTTTATACACCTGTGGCAATGAGTCTGAATTCAGTGATGAAGAGGTGTGCCCCAGTACTTTTGTCCATATAAAGTATATATAAATATGTACGAATATATATTACACGTGTGCTTCGTTCAATGAGGGCTGTTTGGATTTGTGTTCTTCTGGGTGGGGGCTTCGTCCTTTTGCTAAATGGTAAATCCATGTGACCTTCCCTCTGACAGACTTCCCCGACGTGCCGTACTCTGATTGGTGCAGCCAGCCCATCCATAGCCACCTGGAGGTCACGGCCCAGTCCAAGTTCTCCGGCATCTCCGGCTGCAGCGACATGTCCCAGGGCTCTGGGTGTGGCACGCCCAACGCCCAGCTGGTCTTGGGTGAGGAAAGACTGGGGATGGGGGGGCTTGTGGGCGGGGCTGGATGGGGCTTGTGGGCGGGGCTATAGTGATGTTGTATGTGTGTGTGTGTGTGGGCGGGAGGGGGCTGGAATCTGAGGGTTATCTGCCACTTCTGCTTCCCCAGGCGGAAAGCCCATTTCGGAGGACGCGCCAGCCTGCCGCGCCCTGCTGCGGAAGGAGGTGCTTCGGCTGGTGGTGAATCTCAGCTCCTCTGTGGGCACCAAGGGCCATGAGACGGGCTTGCTGACGTGAGCGTCGCCGCACCCCTCTGCCTGAGCTGGTGGGTCCGACCCGACTCCGCTGATGGCTGACCCGCCTCCTCTCCTCCTCTGCAGGATCAAAGAGAAGTTCCCGTACGCCTTCGACGACGTCTGCCTGTACTCGGAGGTGTCCCACCTGCTGGCTCACTGCGTGTTCCGCCTGGCCTCCCGCCGCTTCATCCAGGAGCTCTTCCAGGACGTCCAGTTCACCCCGGTGCTCACCTCCAGCCTACTGCTTTACTGCTTTACCACATTACAGTGAAAAACGCGTATTTTTATTACTGCTTTACCACATTACAGTGAAAAACACGTACCGCCGTCATTGCGAGGCTTTTACCGCCAGCCGGCACTGCTAGCGCATC